GGCTCCCGCCAAAGGTTTTCAAACTGGGAGCAGACGGCGCAGAACCGTTACTGATCTTAGGAGTGGCTTTGCAACCAGGCAGTGACAAAAATCATTTCTGTCAACCAACCGATGTGGCCGTGGATCCCGTCACCGGCAGCATTTATGTCTCTGATGGCTACTGTAACAGTCGAATCATTCGGTTCTCTCCAGATGGATTGTACGTGACGCAGTGGGGAGAAGGTATGGATCAGAGCTCTTGGTGCTTCACCCGTGCTGCTGTGAGCCTGAACTCCTCCTGCGCCGTGGCGTTGTTGGCGTTACTGTCGCTTGGTTTTGTGAATATACATTACTGAAATACCTTCCAGGGCTTGGCTGAATTTCAGCCTTCTCACTGCATTCTTATTTTCTCTTCACACATGTAGTAGTTACATATTCACTAAAAATACAAAACGCGAATGCGTTAGCATGCTCTCGGTACAGGTATTGGCATGTCCTGTCTTAACAAAAAAATGTTCTGACTTTCGCAAAAGCCTTATTTTTTCTTAAACATTAGATAAAATAGTATGTCTTTACTGTTTTTGAAAGATTTATGCCAGGATCCCATCTATTTTAAGTTTTATGAATAATTACATTTTTGCCCGACTCTGATTTATGTGTCAGGCATTAAACGATGCTAAATATTATAGGGAAATGGCAAATTCATAAATTCAGGATTTACAAAGATGACGCAAAAGACAACCACAGTTTACCTACCTAAATGGGTATAACTGCCACGAAAAGAAAGCAAGCTGGTTACATTTTTTTTTTTTCTGATGTTATATAAAGCGTTGTGTGACACTTTGCTGTTTCTAAGCAAAACTGATAGCTTCAGTGTGCACTTTAACACAAACCTGGGTATTTTTTATTTCAGAGACTTCTTTAGGCAGAGCCAGACCTGGACAGTTTCATATCCCTCACAGCTTAGCCCTGATCCCTGACTTCAGTCAGCTGTGTGTTGCCGACAGGGAAAATGGTCGAATTCAGTGCTTCAGGTTAGAGACTGGGGAGTTCGTAAGAGAGATCAAGCACAAATCATTTGGAAGAGAGTTGTTTGCAGTTTCCTATGTTCCAGGTAATCTTTTTTCCTGTTCTTCAGATTTCAAGTAGGTGCTTTATGTCAGTATGTCACAGTGCAACAGGGCTATTTCATGAAGAGTGCTATCGTGTTATCTTAGGTGGGGTATTTATTCTTTTTCAAAGTAGAGCTGATGTAATGGAAAATTTTAGACCTATCCTGTTTTCCTGCTTGCAGGATGAGGGAAGCTTGCGTATAACCTCTGCTTCTGAGAAATGACTGATTACACTCCCTAAACGTGACGTCAGCAAGTAGATGGTCATGTTTGCTTCCTGGTGACTGCACAGCCAATAATTGTTTATTAGTAACATTTTAAAATACTTATTTTGAACTCCATTGAAGAGAGCAAAATAAAGCGCTTCCAAACGATCAAGGAAAGTTTTGGGTTTCATAAAACAAAAGAATTTGAAAGCAGTTAGTTTGAAAAAGTCGTGGATTTTAATATCACAATTGGGTTAACAATGACTGTATTAATTTTTTGGGTTTGATTTTTAATACCCATACTGAAGTTAATGTAAATGTCAAGGACTGGATGAGGAATTTTGACATGTCAGGCTCCTGACTCTGTAATTGATAGCAGATATCAGGGTTATCTCTCTTGCATCTGCCAAGAAGATAAGAAATGCTGTAGTGAAATGAGATACTTGACACTGTAGCCCAGTGCTCTGTCTCCTGAGGGGGGCAGAAAGAGAGGTGTTCTCAGGAAAAAGTGTGAGCCTGGCTGCATTTTGTGGTCCGTTCCTCTCCTGCTCCCCATACAACCACAAGCACTTTATTCAAGGGTGTTAGGAGGTTACTCCTGACCTCTTCTTCAAGGTATCTTTTGGTAGACCTATTGCCCATGAGTTTTCCTATTCCCATTTTGAACTGGCTTGTACTGTCTCCCTCTTCGACCTTCTGCAGTTCCAGGCTCCAGAATTTCACTACCCACTTTATATTTTTAATTTTAAAAAGCATCCTAGCTTCACTGAGTCCTTCTCAGTCCCAGTATTTTGGAAATTGGTGAATAACACTTCCACACTACCCATGCCTGCCTTTTACCCTTCTCTCTAACAAAGAACTCCAGTCAGCTTAGTTTTTCCCCATAGGCCACTTAATTGCTTCAGCCCCTTGACTACAGTAGTTGCCTTCCTCCCATCATCTTTAACTTCAGCAGGGTCTTCTTGAGTTGCAGAGAGCAAAACAGCGCTCCATACTTAGGAAGGGGCCGTGCCAAGTTTTTGCATAGTGGCAGAACTGTCCCCTCCATTCCTAATTCTTTTCCTGGTGATACCCAACATTCTGTGGAAATTTTGGTTGTCGCTGTACATGGAACAAAAGATTTCAGAGACCTTTCAGTGGTGGCTCGGAGATGACTCTCCTCAGCTGTAGCTGCCAGTTCAAAGCTGAACATCACGCAGGCACGATCTAGATCCTTTTTTCACAGAAGAATCACTCCGCATTTGTCTTGGCTGAAGCTCTTCTGCCATATGTTTCACAACCCATTTATTCTTATAAAAAGTCCTTCTAGAATTTCTTGATACCATCAAGCTCCACAGAACTACACCACAGAACTCAGTACCTTCCTCAGACTGGGAGATGTCACTGTTTGCCCCATGTTTCAGGCCACTGGTGAAGACTATTGAAAGAAATTTTTTCTGGCTCTGATCCCTGCAGGACTGCACTACTTGGACTTCTCTATCCTGAAAACTTACAAGCTCTGCCCTTAAGCTCTGCTCTTTGCTTTCTGTTCATTAAGGTGTCTTTCAGTCAGCCCTGCGACAATTCACATTCTTCAGTAACCTCCTTTGCACAAGCTTGTCAACGTTTTTTGAAGACCCACGTATGTCTGCAGCAGCTCCTTTACCTGTGTGCTTTTTCTCCCCATTCTGAGGTGAGGCACAATTTCCCCTCAGAGAAGCCACACCAATTTCTTCCCGACAGGCCACCCTTACCCATGTCTTATTCTTCGTTATGGAGTCTACCGTTCTGCCGGGGACAGAAGCCAGAAATGTTGACGTGCAGTTCCCAGGCATCCCTCCGAGCCCTTCCTGTAGACAGGCATTACTTCGGAATCCTGCTTGCGGGGCAGTTTGCAGTGCTGCATTACCACTCAGCTTGGCCTGAGGTCTCTGCTTTCACCTCTGATTTCCTTCTGAGCTTGGGTGAATGCCATCCAGGCCTGATGAATTAATGACCTCCAGCTCATCTAACACCTTTTGTTTATCTCCTCCAGCTGAGCTGGCTCCTCTGACCTCTTTGCTACAGATAAAACAAACAAACCAACAGAAGCATCAGATTCTCCCCAACATGTTCAACAGAAAAAACTGACAAAAACTGAGCTTCTCTGCCAAGGCCCTTCATCCCTGGGTCCCCCTTTCAGACCTTTTCTTCTTGTGGTCCCTCTGATTCCCTACCTTCCTTTCTGCTTTTGATGCATTTAAAGAACTTTCCGTTATCAGATCAAGCATCCTTAGCAAAGCATTCTGTAGATTTTTAACCCTTGCACATTCTTTTTTACTTTTAACCAATCTGTACAGTATTGCCTTGCTTGTTCTTCTCATTTGGACGAAGTGTGCATCACTTAAATGCCAAACTTCCACCTGTTGTACCTTACTTTCCTCTTGTGATTTAGTCTCCTACTGAGTTACCTTTCTGTCTGTCTGCTCTCAGACAGCCTTGTTTCATCTCTGCTGTTAACAGTTCACTGCAGTTTGGTACCTGTGGGTTGTTAAAGCAAATCTAATGTTGTTGCAGGTGGTCTCCTCTTCGCAGTTAATGGAATGCCTTATCCTGGAGAGGCAGAACCAGTGCAAGGGTTTGTGATGAACTTCTCTACTGGGGAAATAATTGACACTTTCATTCCGCTTAGAAAGGTAGAGTATTGCCCAGAGTGCCTGGTGCATGACATCAGAATGTTGGTAACATCCAGCTTTCATAGGACTGTTGCGAGGTGGTTTATAATGTAAGCTATTCCAAAGGAATTCTTTATACTATTAACTTAATAAAAACTCTAGAATTTTGGGTCTTAGTTTCTACATGTGATATACATTTGAAAATTACACTACCCTCAAGGTGATTCCTACAGATAATACCTTCAGTCAGGATAAGCCTACTTTATTGCTGTCAGACAGTTCTTTAAAGCTAATTTAAGAGAAGAATTAATTGCTTGAAATATTCATGTATGTAGATGGTAGTAATATGTCAAAAAAGAGAGTATATTCCTAAACAGAAATAAAATTCAACTGTATAATTACATCCCTTCTTTACAGCGTGGAAGGTAAGGCTAAATGTCATTAACACAGTATTGTACATAAAAATTACGTTTCCTTAAAAAAAGTGTTTCCATATGTTGTCTTTAAAGAACAAATGTTAGGATTCCCATTTCTAGGTAACACATATGCTGTTATTTGCAGTTTTAAATTATATTAGAGAGAGGGTGTTTTTTTCTGAGTGTAGCAAATAGCTGTGTGGCATCCAAATTCTCACAAAAACTGAATGTGTGGGCTTGAAACCAAGCTTCGTGGGGTTTTTTTAATATATACTTCGGAGTATAAAACTGAATGCGAAAATACAAATACATATATTATAAAGATAAAAATCATGTAGCATTAATACATCTAATAATCTCCAAGTTGTTATCCCTGGAGAAGGCAAACATAGGACAGAACTGGAGTCCCTCTCCCTTTGCCTGCACACCGGCACCTGCTGCGCTCTCCAGCCTGAGGGCTGAACGTGACCGGTGCTGTGTTCGGGGGGAGGGGGCCTCGTGAATGTGTGGGCGCTTACGAGTCACCCGTGGTTGCTTATCTTCACAGAGCTTTGAGATGCCACATGATGTTGTTGCTTCAGAAGACAAAACAGTGTTCGTTGGAGATGTTCATGCCAGAGTGGTGTGGAAGTTCGCATCCACAGAAAGTACGTTCTTTTTGTCCTTGATGTCACAGCTTTGCAGTTTGCGTCCTCGGATCAGCACCTTTTACCTGGTACCTCTGGCAAAGAGCCTGGTGGCTTTCTGGCAGTGATCTAAGTACCCCACAAGCTCCCCTGCAGAGGTTGCGTACTACTGCTCGGTGTTCTCTGTAGGACCATTCTTCGGCCTTGCTGTGTCTCGTGCGCGCTCGTTCGCTCGTCACGGGAGGAAACCGAATGCGTTTGCCCCGTGGTAGATCTGCCCCTTGTCATGTTAGTGCCCTCTTAAACAAAACTGAGCATCTCGTAATTTGAATGTGTCATCTGCTGGGAAGTCGGCTGCTTCCTTTGAGGTTATCATAAAGGAAACTCCCAGAGGCTGAAGTGAAAACGCAAGTCAACTTAAAATTTTATTCATTTCAGTGGGAATACTCATCATTAGAAGATGAATCTAGTATAATTTGGAGTCCTGTTTGATGAAGGGGAAACACTTCCCAGTTTTTAATGCAGTAACCCCCAAGCCAAGCAGACTGACTTCAAGGAGAGGGACCTGCTTAGTCAGACATCAGTTTGGTAGGATTCAGAGAGAGAACAGATATTTTACAGGAATAAAACTATCATCCACTGTTACACTGTATTGGATTAAAAATGTATGAGAGAGAAAAAGCCTCAGGCTTCAGGGTGTTAGTCACCAGTAAGAGTCTGCTGTTATAAATGAACTTCTGACTAAGCCAGTTATTCCATATTTGTCTGTTTATAATTCATGGGTTTTCCTTTGGGGCATCTGGTGTGAGCTGCTGTTAATAACAAGAAGCTGGACCAGATAAATTGTGATTCTGACTGGATATGGCTTTTTCTGTATATGATAACCTGAACAAGAACACCTGTAGGCTTTTATTCAAAGAAACATGAGAACAAAAAAAAAAGGAATTATTCATCACTTACTGGTTAGACGAGGGAAGTTTTTATATATCATTTTCTTCTTAGTCTTTGCTGCCATGTAAAACTGCGGTAGCTAAGGAACCCCGACTCAGCCAGCCTTTAATCTGTCGTGACTCTGATTACAGCGAACCGTTCTATTTTTGCGGGAATCCCTGGACCTTCGCCTGTGCCCATAAAACCTTTCTGTGGCAAAAGAGTTAATTACTGCAGACACCTTTCATGAATCAGGCTCTTTCGTTTTTTCCACGGCCTGAGAGCTACGGAGCGGTTTATGTTGACTTTCCTTGGTGCACTTCAGATGCCGATGGGATTGTTTACCATAGGGTTGTGCTGTACATTTGAGAAAGGTAGCAGGAAAATGTCACTGAGTGTCTTTCTGAAATGTCACTTGTCTTGAAGACTGATTTTGTTTTACAGAAATGGAACATCGGTCAGTTAAAAAGGCTGGTATTGAGGTACAGGAAATAAAAGGTTAGTCTGATTCATAATGGAAATGAAGGAACAGTGCTTTCACACAGACTAGGACTGCTTCTGCCAAGCTGGAGGGAAAACTGCTAACTAGTTTCACTGTTATTTTATTTTTCACCATCATTTCTTACAGTGACTATAGATCAAATATAGGACTGGCATAGGAAGCTCTCGAAAGCAGCTCGTAACAGTGTTACCTAGTAGCTGCTACTTTACAGCCAATCTAAACATTTCGTTTTCAGTGATGACAAGCGCTTTGCAGCCACTCAGATAAAAATTGTAACCAGTGGGTTAATTCCCTACCACCATCTGGTATGGTCCAGATTGGTATCTGTGTCATCTCCCCGAGATGCAGAAATAGCTCTGAAGCACAACTGTGTGCGAGTTACTCCCCAGCACCCTCCCCCCTGCTCCACAATCCTCAACCACCAAAAAAGGGTTATTTGAAATGGCAGTTGGTTTATCTTTCTGCAGTCTTTCGGTATAAAGCCTTGCCAGTCGCACCATATGGCAAAAAACTCTGTTTTTTTCTACTGAGATTTATTTCCCTAGATTTGTTGCTTGCTTTCTTTTTTCAATTTGCATGGAAATTAAAAAAAAAAAAAAGGAAAATAAAAACATGTAGAAACAGGAGATAAGGAAATACATGTAGAGGAGATTGGAAGGGGTAAAATACCCATTCAGGAAGACAAAAAGTAATTTAAACCATTAGTATTCTGTTACATAGGTCTTTTATGTTGAAAAGGAAGAGCTCCTTTGGCTTTCAGAAAACCAGTACCAGGCTATGGAGAGGCCTTTATAACATGTTCAAACCTTCTTAACTCTTTTGCTTTGGTCAAAGTCAGAGCTTACGCAGTTTGCTTTCGCCAGGTATATGCAGAGAAAAACACCCAAAGATCCCAATGCCAGTTGCAAGCATGTAGAATAAAGTAGGTGGCATGATGAAATCCTCGTTGTCAAAACTTCTATCCTTCTGCTTTATCTCTTTCCTCCTGAAGCACTCAAAAAGGAACTGTTGACACTGCAGCATCCACAGCCCAACAAATCTGGGTACATACTAATGCATTTCAGCTTTCTTTAGGAAGATACCGTAATGCTTGTATCTTTTAGGAAGATACTTGTAATGCTACAGAGAAAAATAGTATCACCAGGGCAAGAAATCGTTTTTAAGTAACAGTCTCTAAACCTGCTTAGGTTACTTAAACTGAAATTAGCATCTCACAACTCCACTTGAGGAAAACACGTGACTGTGATAATGCTGTTACCGCTGTACTTGCGTTAAGTGTAGTCTGAAGCATTTACGATTGTTTCCAAATAGACCATCTTTTTAAGCTGGGTAAAGAATCAAAACAGAGTTGGGTCAGAGTGTGTTTCTGATGCAGCTGGCCCTAAAGACATGCAGTTAAGTCAGACTTTAAAATATAAAGCTACACAGTTTTACTCACTAAAAGTTAGCACGAGGCATGTGTCTTTTATACACTCACAGAACAGCACGGAGGATTTTACTGAAGCTGGTTTTCTCCTTGTAGGTGGATAGGTTAACAAACCAGTCAGGAATGATTGGGTGCAGCTTTCAAAAGCTCTCCGTATTTACAGAGCCAAAGTTCTTTCATGGGATGTAGCAGTTCTGAAAATAATAATTTGTCAAAAGTTTATTAAAAAGAACTTCACATCCTTTCATTTTTGTTGCACAGCACATACTGGATTTCTGTATTTCTTGTTAAGTGTCATTATCAAAAGGAGATGTTTAATTGGTACTACATCACACGCCTCTTTGCAGAAACACATCGTTGGGGGATTTTCCTGTATTTTAAATGGTCTTTTTAAGACAAAACTCTGCCTGACACCCCTCCTTTACCTACTCAAGAAAAGGGAGGGCATCTTTGCTAGTGAGTGATACTGTTCAGACTCTCTCTGCCTTACATTTGGGATAAACCTCCCTATAAATGTCTTTTGATTCCTTCTTACTCACCACTTCAGGTATTCTAGCTTGTTCTTTTCTTTAATGCCTTATTCTGTATTACTTGATGCATATGGGTTACATATTGAAATTGTCTTCTTTTTAAAGAATCAGAAACCGTTGTAGAAGCCAGAGTGAAAAACAACCCAGAACCAACAGACCCTCTAAAGAAGCCGGAAAAACAACACTTGGTCCAACAGGCTAGCAATGGAATTCCCTTTGTTCTTATTACAACTCTTCTCATAATTCCTGTTGTTGTTCTGCTGGCCATTTTGGTATTTATCCGGTGGAGGAAGACAACTGCCTACGGAGGTAACCATGAGTAACTCTAGAGAACGAGCTGTTGTTACTCCGGCTCAAACCATAGCTGAGCGCTGAAGGACGAGGGCGAGAAGAGTGAGGCTTCCCCTCCCTTCGCCCTTCTGACCCGCTGCGGTGCTGCTGACAGCGGGCATGCCGCAGCAGCTGCATCCCCCTGGGCCTTTAACGTCGCGTCTCCGGCCACCACCCCTGCAGAGCACGTGTCTGAGACCTTTGACTGGTGTCAAGCCGAAAACCGGTGTCTCAGAAATGGCTAGAATACGTCATCATCCAGAGTACATACATTTTGGTACTCTGAGCACAGTTTGATTTTCACTCTGGGATCTTTAAATTGTTGAGGACAGAGGACTCTCTCTGTGTTTATAACGTACAGGCAAAACGCAGGCGGGCAGCGTTTACAAGAGGTTACGTATTACCGTCCCCTGCTCCCTGGTGCGTTTTCCCG